TATATATATTAATAAAAAAAATAAAACATTGGCAGTAAACTCTGTCACACTGTTCTTCGTAATTTTTTTTTCTGACATATCTCCTCAGGTAAGAGAAACAAAAGCAAAAAGAAAAAAATTTAGACTACACCAGACTAAAAAGTTTTTGGAGAGCAAATGAAATCATCAATAAAACAAAAAGACAACCTACTGAATAAGAGCTTATTATTATTATTACTGAATATATCACCAATGATACATCTGATATGGGGTTAACACCCAAAATTTATAAAGAATTCAAATAACTGGAACCCCAAAAACCAAACAATCTGATTTAAAAATGGGCAGAGGAACTTGAACAGACACTTCTCCAAAGAGGACATACAGATAAACAAGAGACATATGAAAAAATGCTCAATGTCACTATCACAAAAATGAAAATTTAAACCACAATGAGGTATCACCTCACACCTGTCAGAATGGTTACCATCAATAAATCAAAAAACAAGTGTTGGTGAGGATGTGAAGAAAAGGGAGCCCTCATGCACTTTTCATGAGAATACAGACTGGTGCAGTCACTTTGGAAAACAATATGGAGTTACCTCAAAAAATTAAAAATGGAGCTGCCTTATGACCCAGAAATTCTACTTCTGGGTATTTATTTCAAGAAACACAAAACACTAATTCTAAAGAACATATGCTCCCCTGTGTTCACTCTAGCATCATTTACAACAGTCAAGATATGGAAGCAACCTAAGTGCCTATCGATACGTAAATGGATAAAGAAGATTTAGTATATGTACATACAATGGAATATTACTCAGCCAAAAAAAAAAGGGAATGAAATCTTGCCATTAGAGAAAGTATGGGTGGACCTAGAGGGTATTATGCTAAGTGAAATAAGTCAGTCAGAGAAAGAGAAATACCATAGATTTCACTTATATGTGGAATCTAAAGAACAAAATAAACAAACATACAAAACAGAAACAGACTCATAAATACAGAGAACAGACAGGGTTGTCAGATGAAAGGGGGTTTGGGGCACTTGGTAAAAAAGGTAAAGCAATTAAAAAGTACAAATTAGGAGTTACAAAATAGTCACAAGAATGTAAAGTTCAGCATAGGGAATACAATCAATAATATTGCAATGACTATGTACGGTGTCATGTGGGTAGTAGAATTATCAGGAGGATTACTTCATAAGTTATATAAATGTCTAACCACTATGCCGTCCACCTGAAACTAATATAAAATAATAGTGAATGTCAACCATAATTGAAAAATTAAATTTAATAAAATACATTTTAAAAATACAGATTAAAAAATATATATAGCCCCTAAAACATAAGAAATTTCTTCTATGTAAAACTTACACATCTTCTTCTACCCGAAGCTGTTGAATATGAGATTTAATTTTCTGTCCTGAAGTTTTTAAGATGATATTTTCCAGGAGGTGGAAATCATCTTGATTAAAGAGTTCATTATCCTCCAGTGGCCCAATGATCTGTGAAGAACAGAGTTGTCAGTAGAGAAATGCAACCTGTAAAGAAGTCCTTTCTTGTCCTCAGGCCATCTCATGAACCAATCATGTTAAAGACCCAAGATATGTTTGCGACTGAATAAAGTCAATGAAAATGTAAAAATAAAATCCCGATGAACTCACACTGTTATTTGCTTGCTTATCAATTCCTCAACTACACAGAGTGTAGACTTGTTTACTTTACAATATTTTTACAGTAAGCAAACTGAAGTACAATAATATAGGTTTCATTAATTCTCACTGAATATAAATAATAAAGCCAAAATAGAGATGTAGTGGTCGATACGGCAGATTTTACCCTACGTGCTAAGACTTTAAAGTCTGATGTATGCACCACAGTCTACATTCTCATGTCAGTGGCGGCCAAGATTCTATGAAGAGTGTAAGCCTGGCCCCACTGAGTGCACAGACTGCACTATAAGCAGGGTCCCCACGGACGAGCAGGGTTTCATGTGTCACAGGCCTCACTGACTTAGGTTCTGAGAGCCACTGCACCTCGCTGCTTAAACTCAGAACACTTCTAGGTCAAAATGAGCAAACCTCCTTCAAAATAAGAGAGCACACAAAGTCATCAGCACCGTAAACACCCGAATCACCTTTGGGAAATGAGTGGCTCTGTCTGAAGAGTTTGCTACCTTCAGAGGAGAATGCTGCCAAGACTGCTCACTGATCTAATCTGAAGGCAAGCTTGTCTCAGGACAAGATCCTCACCCTTCCATTGCTGATCACTGCCCTCTGTCCCTTCTTCAGCTTCAGGACATCCCTGCAGTACATGGCATGAGACAAAATGAAATCCATTTTGGAAGCTTCAAAGACCTCTTTAAAAAGACTGAAATCCATGCCCTAGGAAAGTAATTGTCATTAAGGAAAAGTAATAGTTATTAAACCATAAAAATGAATAATCATAATGAATAAATAATAAAACTCTATAAATGAAAGCAATAACTAACTTTAGTAATTAGCATTATGATGTCTCCCTTCTCCCTTCCATTTTCCCCACCCTCCCACCTATCAAGTAAAGCTTATTTCCTTCCATAGTTCTTTTATGTGACTGTTTGGGTAGCAAACCAGTGTTCATGATACCTTTATTCTGCATTTTAAAATATTTCCTATTTCAAGTGAGAGTCTTTCTTCTAACTGAAACATCAAGCATACTCATCATTTTATGATAAATTTTAAGACTAAAAAAACAGTAAAAGGTATGTTACATATAAATGAATAAACATGAGCTTACACTGGAAAAACATCAAGAACACATTAGCTTCTAATTCATTAACTGACTTAAATCTCAATTTTTCGTTCTATCAACAAGTCAAATATTGTCTTTTAAAAACTATAAAAACAAATGGCCTGTGCTTAAAATGTACATAAACCTGTATCACTGACATCTTGAAACCTAACAAGTTTAAAAGCAATAAAGGGAATGTGGCAGAATTGTTATTTCTTGGAAAGATTCTTCCAACGACAAAAAAAGACACCCTGAGATTCAAAACTGAAAGTCCAAATTCTTATCATAAACTTCAGCCCATGGGAGCAAACTTCTGTGGTAAGTAACAGAGAGAGGTAGCCTCAAGCAATGGACAGAGACTCACCCCAACAGAGAACTCCCCAATATCAGTTCCTGCAGCCAGGGCCTCCGCAGTCTCCTCCTTGGCCATTTTTGTAATGAAGTTCTTAGCAGAGTTGGAGGTCTGTGTTTGAAGAGCTGCCCAGATTGCTCTGGAGATCTGCATGTTCTCATAATTTATGTCATCACCAGGATTATTGATCATGCCTATCCTAACATTGTTACTGGATTTCTATTTACAAAATAGGAAATAAGGGTTATATGGTAGACGTTTGCAACTTTAAAAGTGACATTAACATCAGTCATATTCTATAAAGAGAAAATAATACTCTCTTAAAAGTCTTCGGTAGTTCCTCTCTGCAAACAGAACAAAATTAAAATGCTATAACCAGGCATTCAAACCCCTACATGAACTGGCCCCTAGCCAACCTTTCCAACTTCATTTCTTACCATCCTGTAAATACAGCATACATTAGAAACCCTAAGAATCCTATACTCCTCCCCCACACATATTTTGTATTCTAGTACATACCACGCCTCGCACTGGCATGTGAACCCCAAGTACACCCATCTTTGCTTCCTTATTAAGTCCCAAGCACTCCTCGGAGCTCTCCTCAAACCCTTCTTCATTCACATGCCTTTCCAGATTTCTAAAAGTTTTTCTCCCTGGGTAAAAAGTTAATCTCTCCCTGGGTAAAAAGACAAGAACCCATGTGAGAGAAGATATGTGGGAACCAAAAAAGGGCTCGTATCAGAAATTCATACTTATGTATATCTAAAGACATGTATAAGAATATTCACGGCAGGATTCTTCAGAATAGCCCCAAACTACAAATAAGCCAAATGTCCATCAAATACACTAAACAAACAAAACTTTGTGATTACAGTTACATGATACAAAACTACACAATGATAAAGAACTATCACTACTTATAATTTCATGGATCTCAAAAATGTTGAGGAAAGAAACAAATACATATTATAAGATTCCATTTAAAAAATAAATAAATAAATAGGCAAACCTACTGTATGATGTGAGAAGAGGAAAAGGCCAGGGGGCAACTGATACGCCACAAGCAGGGGAGGGCTTTCAGGAATTTGGTACTTCTCTTTACCTGGTGTGGTCACACGGGTGTGCTCACTTTGAGACACTGTGTATCCTATGATTTGTGCACTTCTTTTGAACCTATATTTTACTTTACTTCAATTAAAATACTTATTTAAAAATATTTGACTCCCCCCACTCTCCCACCACCTGAACATCCATCAATCTGAGTCCGAGTTCCTTACACCGTATCTATCATCCTTCACTAGGGCTACTCCTAATTTAATTTTGAATTAATCACAGCAACTAATCTGTTCCCTTACAGTAAGGCACTTTGCACATCAGTGAAGCTGACATCACCTCGATATGCCTCCCTGAGACACAGGGCGCCACGGAGACACAAGAGGGGTGTGACGTTTGGATGAAGACCCAATCTAAAACTGCTCAGGAAAAGGAAATGTAACATCTCATTCTCTGACAATGACACTCTCTAGAAGGGTCAATTTCTTCTCAACTATCCCCCACTGCCATTCACTCAAGGGCTATGATTTATGTGCTGCATAGCTTTCAGACCAGGTGCATGTGTGTCCCTCTGCATGCCTAGACCTACTTCTATCATACATGCACTTACACCTAGACCTGCCTCTCCCACACATGTACAACACCATCTCTGCCACAAGACCAAGAGCAGCATACAATAAAAACTCATCTAAGATGACCTTATTATTTTTTCCTCTAAAAGAATCTATCCCCTTAAATAAAGGTAGAATGCTGCAGTCTTCTCTGTTTCCTTACTGGCCAGCAGACCTCTGAAGAAAAAACACTCTATTTCCTCAAGCACTAAGAGAGAAGGACCTGGTCTTCCCACCAGAACAAAAATATCGGCACACAAATGCTCATGAGGACATAATAAAGTTGCAGACACTTGCCTGATGTTTAATAGCATCATACAATAATTGCCTTCCAGAGGGGCTATCAAAATCCCCAACAATCCAAAAAGTTACTGGCCTAATAAAAGAATCATCTGTAGAAAAAGAAAACAACATATTAAGTTGGAGGGAAGAAAGCACATTTTATGTTTCAATACTGTTATTAAGCCAAATAATTTCTGAAAACCATGCAAAAAATAAGAAAATTACAAGTTTAATAAAGATACAAAGCAAAAGTAGTGAAACTGATAGTAGAAGAAAGCAATACCTTCCACATGGCTTAATTATAAACTAGGGACATGCACTTATTAATTCTACTATGGTTTGGGCATTTGTTAGCATATAAAATGAAAAAGAGCCCTGAACATGTAGGTAACATATTATACTCTTTAATCATATTAATTTGTAACTTTCTGAAATATGCTTCTTTGTAAACATTTATACAAAATTTATCTGAATGAATAATTATCTACTGTTACCCACAGGTTCCAGAAACATCCCAATAAAGGGTCAATAAATTCTGTATAACAGTGCCTGAAATAAGATAATTAAGAAAAGAAACAGAACATTCTAAAGTTTAAAGTTACCATAGATTTCCTTGGAGGACATCCCTGGACAAAGGTAAAGGAAAGAGTAGAAAAAAAGAAAATGTCATTTCTATAATTATTGCCTAAGATCAGAGTCAAATTTTAAATAATGCCTAACATGATCTAGGTTTTTTTCTGCTCCTTAGTGCCAGTAGTGCTGAGCACTGTCCCAGTTCTCCTCAGAACCAGGTTCTTAGGAATCAAATGGAGGGAGAATGACCTGTGCTTCAATGTATCTAGGAAACCAGATATTCTCTCTGGGAGATGAGAATTGCCTTAAATGACATTCAGCACTCTGAAAGGGCAGTAAGTGTGACCATAGAGGAAAAACATTTGTCTGCCATTATAAGGGCATCATTTCACACAGTCTTTATCTAAATAAATAACTACATGAAATCAGTTTTAAAACTTATACAAGTATTTCTAGAACCAAGTTTATCCTTAAAAAATTAACTCAATGCTATCACTGAAGAGGCATGTCAAACCAAATTCCAATCTATCAGCCCATTAACATCATAAATGTTTTCTCACTTTTAACCCCCAAACCTTTTTCCTTCTGACTTTAATATCTAATTTAAAATTTAATAAAGACAGCATTTAAATTTTCAAAAATATATAAAGAATTAAATTTTAAAAAGGTATTTTCTATACTCAAATCCTAAGAAATAATAAAATAAATTATGACCTCTCTCTCCCAACAGATACTAATGATTGAATTTTTTGTAAATACTAAAACAAATGTTGAATCCAAGATAAGCCTAGAATATGTTACCTTTCTTTGTCAGATAGTTCATACTATTAGCTATAGCAGCAGTCTTGCCTTGAGAATCCAAAACAGTAAATCTAGCATAGTCATCCACAAAAAAGTTATCTGAAAAAAAATTGAAGTAGATTTATAATTAATATGCCTAAATTCAATCTAATGTTAATTTCAACTGATAATATGACATGACCATAATACAAGTTTTATAAAAATGCATGAGTGAAATATATTGCTTCATGTTTATTGAATAACTTTACAATCCCACTGACCTCTATTCCATTAATCACATTTTAAGACACAAAGGTAATAAAAATGCACACATCTCACATAACTGTCGTATGCATATGTGTCATTTTAATAGTTTAAACTTATTCTATTCCTACTTGTATCACTTTACAACTAGCGACTGAGGAAAATGATCTCTTAAAAATACCCCCTGAACTTCATTTCTCCCTCTATTGTCTATCAACCAGAATAAGCTCTTCCTTACCCTATTTTGGTGGGGGGGGAACAAGAATAGGAGAAAAAAAACTTTAAAATTCTCATTTTAATGTTTTCATGTGTCAGAAAAGAGTATATTTTTAGCCCTAACAGAAACAAAAGGTCACTTTCAGATTCATATCCTGATTAGTGCCTATGGGCAATGCTCTCAATAATCATTTCCCCTCAGATTACTCTTGCTAAAATTCCAGTTTCAGCAAGTCATTCTGTTGCTCTAAACTACCCAGTAATTTCTTTCTACCTACAAAATGGTCTCCAGACTGGTATCATAAACCCTCTATCTATAGCAGTCTCCCCAATCTTATGCATTATCACACCCAACTCTACTGCCATTCTCCTCTCACTGTCCTCCAATCACATCCTGCTTGCCCACCCTCCCATCTACTTGTCTGTCCACCCACCACTCACCCACCTAAACTTTCATTCAACAAAATATACTAAGGACCTATGATCCTTTCAGTCAATATTCTAGAAAAGGAAAGCAATGGTAAATAAGACAGACATTAGACTTCTCTAACGATGTTTGGGACAGCACAGGTGATGGGGCTGGGAGCTGGATCAAGAGGATGCCAGCTGCTCCTCACTGATAGCTCCCCATGTTCCCCAGCAGGCTATAGCTTTGCCTCTGGGGACTAGCACCACTTCACAGCTGATCACTACAGCACCCCGTGGAGAAAGGCATCCCGAACACAGAACCATTTCTGTGTTCCGTATGCATGAGTACTCCAAAAATAACTACCGATAGTTTAATTTAAAATGATGAAACAAAAACAACTCAGGATAAAGACTCATATCACTGTTCGCCTTGCTCTATTAAAATTTCTGGTGCCCTGGCCAGTGTGCCTCAGTGGTTGAACTGATGGGTCCCGAGTTCAATTCAATGGTCAAGGGGGCATATACCTGGGTTTTAGGTTCGATCCTCAGCCCTGGTTGAGGTGTATACAGGAGGCAACCGATCGATGTGTCTGTCACATTGATGTTTCTCTCTCTCTCTCTATCCCCTCTCCCTCCCACTTTCCACCCTCTCTAAAAATAGATGGAAAAAAATATCCTCAGGTGAGGATTAACAAAAACAACAAAACAAAAAAAGACTTATCGTGAAAAATCTAAAACCTAATGTAAAGAAACAATGCAGCTCACATTCTATTTTCTTTTTCAAATATAAGCATATATGTGCATTTTTCTTTTCCGAAAAGAAGAGATATTTTGTTTCAAGTTAGATTACAAGATAGTTGCCATAAAGTAACAACCATAAATAGATCTACATATTCATTATTCTCAATGACAACAAGTACACTTGGTTTTTACTTCACTAGTACAGGTATCTTTTCCCTCCCAGTGAGATTTCCAGACAAGTGATGATGGCTCCCCCTTATTTCCAGCTGTTTACTAAAGCTTTCAGAATCTCACAGAAAGGCAGAAGGAACAAACTGCACCTGGGCTTAACATATCTGCCTCTTAAAAGGTTTCTTGTGGAAACAACCCAAACATTCATCAACTGAGGAATAATAAGCGAAACATCTGCCATCTACACGGAAGAGTATTAATCAGCCATAAAGAGAATGAAGTACTACTGACACATGCCACAGCATGGATGAACCTGAGAGACATTATGCTAAGTGAAAGAAGCCAGTCACAAAAGTTCCCCATTATATGAGACACCCAGAATATAAAACCCATAGAAACAAAAACTAGATTAGTGGTTGCTGGAGGACAGGAGAAGGGAAAAATGGGAAGTGACTACTGATGGGCACATCAATTCTTTTGGGGGTGATGATAATGTTCGAAAATTAGAGAGTGGAAATGATCACACAACTCTGAAAATTTGTGCACTTTAAAAGACTTAGTTTTATGGTATGACACTATTTCTCAATGAAGCTTTACTTTTTAGAAAGGCATTCTTATGTCCTCAGAGAAAAACTACCTAGGATATTTGTCAACATTGCTGACCGAACCCAGAATGACGACGAAGAGAAGACAGCTGCATAAAAGCTTTATAATAAAGTCAATAGTACAAGTCCCTTTTTATCACCTAAGCTTGTTTAGTTCATAATTAAAAGGCACTGAATATTTCTCAAAGTTTACAAGGGCTTATCCAGGAAGAATTCTCTCCTTTTGGAGGACATGTGAATTTAGAAGCCTGCATTATAAACTCAAGGTGCAATGAGTTTAAACATAAAATTGTGTAGCAATCTTGGGTTATCTTCTGAACACCACAATCTAACAAATGCAAAGATTCTGAAAGACAAATCAAAACCACCCAAAGTGTTCCTGAAATGCTCCTTACTGGTTGCTGTTAAATCCAGGTATTCTCGCTCAACCGTCAAAATCCTAGGGTTGATTCGTGGAACAACATTCGGCTGATTCATAATATACTCTACCACATCTTGATCGTGGGACAGTTCACCCTACAGAAGAAATGGAAACAGGGTGTGGTGGGATGACTGCTAAACAAATCTGATCAAGAATAATTTATTAGAAACTAAAAAATCATTAACTTTATATCATCTTCTTATGTATGGGTAACAGCTAAAACCAGAAGTTACCACATTACAGGCCCTTATCATTGCCAAGCATAGCTTGGTGTATTATGCACAGTAAAATGCTAACTCCTTCAACAATGTGAAGCAGATGTTATTGATGTCCATTTTAAAGATAAGGAAGCTGTGGCACAGGTTAAATAGCGACTTACAGTCACAGAGCTGATGAGAAGCGAAATGTGAAATGCAAATCCAGGTTTATTTCATCTCTCCACACACTACTGTGCTTCCCCAGAAATAAGCAAGCTCTTCAAATTAGTAAAGAGTTAACATAAGCATGCCCTGGCCAGGGTTGCTCAATGGTTAGAGCGTCGGCCCACACACCAAAGGGTGGTGGGTTCAAACCCCGGCCCAGTTGGGGCGCATAAGGGAGGAAACCAATCAGTTTTTCTCTCACATCAATCTCTCTCTCTAAAAATCAAAGGAAAAATTATCCTCCGGTGAGGATTAAATGAGAAAAAAAACCACAAACAGACAACTTACCACAAGCAGAAATCCACTGAGATCTGCTCATTTTTAGCTTCTCTTAAAGAAAAAAGCCACATGCATCCACTCAAGCAGTTAATATACTTTGTAATAAAAATCACCCCAAGCTTTCTCCAATCTCAGGTATCCAAGTAACCCTATATTTCCAGAATCATAAGTACAGTGAGGGAAAGAGAAATCATTTATTATTCTTCCCTTTGTACCTCTCATATTATAGAAATACTTGTATAGCTGACCCTTGAAAAATCCGGGTGTGCAGTACATGGGTCCATAAGGGACCACTAATATGTGGGTTTTTTTCAATAAATATTGTAAATGTATTTACTCTTCCTTATGATTTTCGTAACATTTTTTTCTCTAGTTTACTTTATTATAAGAATATAGTATATAATACATATGACACACAAAATGGGTGTTAATCAACTTTTTATGTTATCAGTAAGGCTTCCAGTCACTAACAGAAAGCTTGGTAAGTTTAAGGGAGTCAAAAGTTATATGCAAATTTTTGACTGTGTAGGGGGTTAGCACCCCAACCCTAAATTGCTCAAGGGTTAACTGTAGCCTGTTGTAAAAAGGAAGGAAGAAAGGAAGGAAGGGAGGGAGGGAAATGTAATATACTTCAAGTAGGAAAAAAAGAGTTCGACAACTAGACATAATTATGAAATGTCAAAAGTGAAAGGGGATCCTGAATGATCCTGAAACCAACCAAAGAGAGGATCCTGAAAACAGAGAAATATTTATCACATAGACCTGATCCTGAATCATATTAACAGCTGATTTTTCAAGAGAAACCAGAGATCAAAAAGCAATGGAACTACATATTCAAAGCACTGAAAAGAAAAGGCAGTCAACCAACAATTCCATATCCAGGTAAATTTTCATTAAAAAATGAAGGGCAGCTGGACCAGGCCTGGCTCAGCAGCTGATTGTTGACCTAGGATCCAGGAGATCACAGTTCAATTCCTGGTCAGGGCACATGCCCGGGTTTTGGGCTCAATCCCCAGCAGGGGGCATGCAGGAGGCAGCCGATAAATGACTCATCAGTGATGTTGCTATCTCTCTCTCTCCCTCTCCCTTCCTGTCAGCGAAATCAATAGAGATACATTTAAAAAAAAAATGAAGAGCAAATAAACACATTCCCAGATAAAGAAAAATGAAGAGAAATTTTCATTGGCATAATGAATACTAACCTATAATAAATACTAAGGGGATTCCTTGCTAAAATATAAGGAGATAAGACAATAATTTGAATCTACACAAAAAATTAAGAGCTCAAGTAAAGGTAGCCACATAAGTAAATATAAAGAGCATAAATGTATTTTTGGGTTGTAACTATTTCTACCTCACTTAAAAGATAATTCTAAGAGGGAACAGTTATAAATTGATGCCAATGGGCACATAATATGGAAAGATGCAACTTGCATGACAATAACAATATAATGGAGGGGCTAAATAAAGCTACAGAAAAACAAAGCTTTCCTGTATTATTGAAATTAAGTTGATATAAAAAATTTAACAATTATACACAAATGCTACATAGAAAGAATTATGCACATTGCCCGGCTGGCGTGGCTCAGCGTTTGAGCATCAATCTATGATCCAGGAGATTGCGGTTGGATTCCGGGTCAGGGCACATGTCTGGGTTGCAGGCTCGATCCCCAGCAGGGGGCGTACAGGAGGCAGCCAATCAATGACTGACTCATCACTGATGTTTCTATCTCTCTCTCCCCCTCTCCCCTTGTGTCCTCTGAAATCAATGAAAATATATTTTAAAAAATAATTAAATAATTTTAAAAAAGAATTATACACCACAACAAAATGGGATTTACCCCAGGAATTCAAAGTTAGGTCAACATAATGCTCCCTATTAATAAATAAAGGACAAAAAATACATGACCATCTTTTTTGTTTTTTTTTAAATATATCTTTATTGATTTCAGAGAGAGGGAAGGACAGGGGGAGAGAGAGATAGAAACATCAATGATGAGAGAGTCATTGATCAAGCCTGCAACCAGGCATTTGCCCTGACAGGGAATCGAACCCTGATCGCCTGGATCCTAGGTCGACGCTCAACTGCTGAGCCACGCCTCGCCGGGCTACGTGACCATCTTAATAAACAAAAAAAAATTATTTGACCAAATCCAACACACTTTGATGATAAAAAACAAACGAACAAAAAAGCACTCAACAAACTAAGACTAGAAGAAAAATTTCAAAAACCAATAAACGCAATCTGCAAAAAAAGCCAACAGCTAATGGGTCACACTGACTTTCCCCTAAGATCTGGAACAAAACAAGGATGATCACTCACACCACTTCCATTCAGCATAGTACTAGAAAGCAGGGAATTAAGCAAGACAAAAAGAAATAAAAAAACGTAAAAAAATCCCGACTGTAAAGGAAGGATCAAAACTATCTCTATTTACAGGTGACATACTGGCATGATGACAATAGTTTCTACATAGGAGGTGTTAAAAAATCCATAAAATACTGTTAGAACTAACAAATGGTTGCAACACAGAAGAACAATGTCTATTCACTATCAATGAACTATCCGAAAATTAAATTTAAAAAACAATTCCATTTACAGTAACATCAAAAAAGAATGTAATACTAAGAAATAAATTTCTTCATACAAAACATCACTGAAATAAAATAATTAGACCAAAATAAATGAAAACACATCCTGTGTTCATGGGTTGGAGGATTCAATATTGTTAACACGTCAATACTTCCAAATTGAGCTACAGATTCTATACAGTTCCTCTCAAAATCCTAACAGCCCTAGTTGCAGAAACGGACAAGCTGATCTTAGGATTTACATGACAATGAAAGAACACCGATGAGCCAAAGATCTTCTAAAAAATTCACATATGAGCACGACAATAATCAAGGCTATGAGGTACTTACATAAGAAAACATATACTGATCAGTGGAAAACAGCACAGTCCAAAGGTGAAACTATACAGAGATCAGCAGTTCATTTTCGAGAAAGGTGCTGTGACGATTTGTGAGGAAAGAGTCTCCTTTTCAATAAGTGGTGCTGAGACAACTGATTACCCCAAAAGATATCTAGTTGCATGTCAAATTAGATATGAAACAAAGGTGGACGCCTGCCTCACATTTTACACAGAAACTTGCGGAGAAGGATCAGAACTTAAATGCTAAAAGAACAACTACAGAATCTCAGGAGAGGAGAGTACAAGTCTCTGTGACCGAGGTGAGCAACGGTTTCTCATGTGTGACTCGGACAGCAAAGCAACGAAGGAAAGGAGCAAGTTGGACTTAATCAAAATAAAAAACATCAGAGCTTTAAAGGGCTCCACCTAACAGTGAGAAGGCAAATAACAAAACGAGAGAAAATATGTGGAATAATACATACAAGTGATTAGTATCTTGGAATACTTAAACAACTCTTATAATTCAAAAATAACAAAACAAATAACCCAGTTACACATGGGCAAATAATCTGAATAGACACTGGGCAAAGAAAATATAGGCTATACTTAGAGAGAGACAATATCAAGTATTGGCTAGAATGTGAAGAAAGTGGAGCCTGGATAGTCTGCTGGCACGAAAGTCTAATGGTGCAGCTGCTTTGGAACACATGTTGGTAGTTCCTCAGGCTGTTAAAATAAGCAGCCAATTCCACTACTAGCTATATACCCAAGACAATCTATACACGACTGTTTATAGTAGCATTATTCATAGTAACCAAAAGTGGAAACAACCCAAATATGCATCAACTGATGGATAAAATGCGCCATTTGAGAAACTATTATTTGCCCATAGAAAGGAATGAAGTACTGACACAGATTCCAACAAAGATAAACCTTGAAAGCATTATGCTAAGTGAAAGAAATCAGTCACTAAAGACCACATATTGTATGAATCCATTTATATAAAATGTCTCAAACAGGCAAATCCACAGAGAGAGAAACCAACTCATGGCTGAGAGGGGTAGGGGCAGAGAAAATGGAGAGTAACTGCTACTGGGTGTCGGGTTTATTTTGGGGGTGATGATAATGTTCTGAAATTAGAGATAATAGTTTTGTAACTGCATATACTCTACAAACCAATGAATAGTCCACTTTAAAAGGCTGAGTTTTATGGCATATTAGTTACATCTTAACAATAACTATGCATATGAAATATTTTAACCTTCTCTATGTCAAAATTCCTTACAAGTAGAACAAATATCTCTTAGAATGACTATCCTCTTAAGAATCTTTAAAATAAAATTTAATCCGGAAACCAATAAAACTAGCTATTACAAAAACAATGTACAGAAAAGAAAGTCTCATGAATACTGTCGTTATAGAAGAACTTGCTGGAAATCTGCAAATCTCTTATAAGTAGTGTATAAAAAACAGTGACACTTAAAACATTTTATTGCATACTACAAAAATGTAAGCAAACCATTCTCTTTCAAAATCAGTCTTCAAATACAACTCACCAAGTACACTGCTCTTTGGAAGAAGGTGGTAGTCTCCAGGATTTTGTGCATTGTGATGGTTTCCAATTCATCAGGATCTAGCTGCTCCTTTTCAAGGGGCATTCCATTGAACAGAACAACAGGCAGCAGACCAACTCCAGCCTGCTCGTAGTAGCCTCTTGCTTCCTAAAATGCAAGGGACCACAAACAGCACATTTTTGTCCTTCATAAGACAAATGGAACAAAGTATATTTTTCATATATACAAATAATACCAAAAAAAAAAAAATCAACACAAATATGGTCACCAAGAAACAACTAAAGAAATTTCTTTTTAAAAAAAAATCACAGGTATCCCCAGTCGGGGGCCTGCAGGAGGCAGCTGATCAATAATTCTCTCAGCATTGATGGCTCTCTCTCTCTCTCTCCCTTCCTCTCTCTGAAATCAATAAAGATATATTAAAAAAAAAAAAAAAATCACAGGTGATAGCATAGTTAATATCCTACTGGGTAAATCTGAGATTAAGTTACTGAGTTTTTACGAAAACACAAAGCGTGCAATTTAGGAATTAGTTTGGGAGTGAGGGTTGGGGTAGTTTTAAGCAGTCCAAGCTACCAAACCTGAATTACACATACTATAGTCAAAACTATACAACAGACCTTTCTGCAATGATGGAAATATTCTATTTTCACTGTCCAATGCAGTAGCCACTAACCATAAGTAATTACTTGAAATTAATTTCCATTTTAAAAGCCACATGTGGCTACAAGTTACCACGATGGGCAGCCCAACAACAGACTGACATAAATTATCAGTGCTCCTGGGCAGGTAGCCTAAGAAGAAATATTTACACCCAATTCTAAATTTAAAAGGGTCCATATATCACTAAAAAAAAAATTATACATGCAGGAAAGAAATAAGGCTGGTGGGAAAACAGTGCTCAAAAACTACTCTACAGCATACTGAGCTCAATCTTTTTCCTTCTCCAGGACAAAAGAGGTTCCTTCCCTGGCAGGGAAATGTCAGGCCAACAAAATGGCAAATATAACAGATAAATATACTTTTTCCTGACTTTAATTTTCCCCTGTCAACATACTATATTCCCCAGATAACAACCAAGACCCAAGACTAAGTTTTCAAAGAAAAACCTATATTGCTATGCAAGATATTAAAGAATTCCTTAAAACTTTCTTGTTAAACATCTTGTAACTTGTATTTTCTGAAAAAGGCAGAATTTTTTTTACATGCAAACATTTTAGCAAAAACAGAGAAGTACTTCAATTGGGTAACTATATCAATCATCAGCCATAGGCTGCCTAGTTTCTAATCACATCTGAACAAAGTAGTAACCGACGGCACAGACCTATCTGAGGAACTAAAGATGGCACAGGAAAAAAGGCCTTCTAGGGTGATTTCAGCCTTTTCTCCATATCATTGTTTAAGCTTTTAAAATTTACACTCTCAGAATTGCAACCATGTAAATTCTGTATTTGACATCTCAGATGTTTTCAAGAAGTTTATAAAAACTCAATTTTAATATACTTTAAGATCTGGGAAGATGGCCACACTGTGACAAGAAGCAGAGCGCCTGTGCTCCCAGCCATGGACTCGATTTACCGCTAAAATACTGTGTAACCAGCTTGGGAAAACCAGAGAAATATACCTGAGTGGTGATATTTCGAGTAGGGAGCAAAGAAGAAACATTATAGAGTCTGGTAAGAGAGGGAGGGCATAGAAAGCCTGTGCCGGGTTCCGAGGCCCTAGGGCTGGAGGTTGCAAAGCTCCCTCCCCTTGGGAGTGTGGACTGGCAGCCAAAATCTGGGATATCAAACCCGGAGCAGAGGAGAAGGGAAGGAGAGCTCATGCACAGAGAACAGAGGGACCCAGGGGAACAGTGTGCCTGTCAGGAGGGGATTGCATCTTCCCAGTGAAACAAAGCTTCTAATGGCGGTCACAACAGGCGTTTTTCACACCGGGTGCCGGACCATAGGAGAGGTTGTCCCACAGTGTGTGGCTCCTGAATACAGTGGGCTGGAGGGCTGCACTGAGCTACACATACAGGGACACTCTGCATTCTTGTAAGGCATTGTGTTGAACTCCAGAAAGCATTAGTTCTGTGTGGTGCAGGGAAGGGGAAGAGAGCCCTCCGGCCATCAGAGAGGGTCCAGAGCTGCCAAAAGGGCAGAATGGGACCCCAGCCCCTGGAGCTGCCAGTGGGGAGGGTCGAGTCTTCAGCAACCAGAGCTGCCATGTGCAGCTAACCGGAGTTTTCTGACCCACGCTGAGGGGAGCCGGGATAGCGCCCAGCTTTACTGAGATCAGCTGTGCAGGGGAGCTGTGGGGGGCTGAGTTTGACTCATCCTGCTTGCTACCAAGGCACAGGGGGATGGGACCTCACAGGGTGGATTCTCTGCCTGTGTGTTGCTTTGTGTGTTTTTGAGTTTTTGATTGCTGAAGGGGTGTCCATCTTCCTGGCTTGCATGAGGGAGACAGACCAGCGAAAGGAGACTAGGAGCACCACCGCCAACAAAAGGGGCTGGGCCTGCTCACTGAGGCTCCAGACACCCCCGCAGGGCACAGTCCTGAGAGGGAAGAGAGAGCAGCTCACAGGAGTACTTTACAAGAATAAGACTCTCAGGGACTGTTGTTTGGGAACTGGAAGAAAAGCTGAAACCCCTGCTAGGGGCTGGGCAGGCAGGCAAAGTGCTCACCTGAATGTATTTTAATCGAACCCACTGAGCCCAGGCTGTTGAAATGGCCTAGACAGAAAAGGCAACAGGCTGAAATCAATCTGAAGCTGCAGCAGGCCAGAGCCTGGGGAACTAGAATCAGAGAACAGGGTAAGGGCTGAGGAGCTGGTGGTGGAGCAGAGACTAACTACAGCAGAGTGAGCGCCTGACAGCTACACCTCTAAGGGGAGTGACACCCTGAGCTATACTAACCACCATGCACCCTAAAGACTCTACAGAAGACTCTGGAGCAAGACCAGGCAATGACAAGGTTGCAAAATAGCTGACAAGAGGTGGCCCACGGAGAGCCTCAGATCAACCATCTACCTAAGGACACTAGAGCCAAACCAAGATGGCTCCTCACACTGGCTGATACACAAGCACCTCCCAGGAGAACTGAAATCAGCACACAAAACAGTGAGCTGCAGACAACACAAGCTGCACAGATGAAATTCATCTTTTTTTTTTGTTTTTTAAAAGTAGAGAAAAGAAAACAAATTTTCTTCTTAAATTTTTTGTTTTAAATTTTTTTTTAATTTTAAGTTTTGCTTGTTTTTTTATTTTTGCTTTGTATTATTTTGTCTTCTGTCCTATTATCAAGTTATTATTGACATTCTCCACTCAACTGCTGGAACATTATCATTATAACCAATAAGTTTACGGCTTTTCTCTACTGTTTCCCCATATCTCTTATCGGACTCCCTCCCTGCCCTGGTTCTCTCTCTTTCTTCTTGTTTCATTGGCATAACTTTTTTTTTATTTTTATTCTTTCTTTCTTTTATTTTTTCCCAATCTATCTTCCTGTTTTTTTCTTTGTTTGTTTCTGTTTGTCTCTATTGTAATTTAACTTTTTCTTTTTCAACTATTTTCCTATTCCTATGCTCTACCCTTAATTTTTTGCTCACCCTTTTTTTCAGAATCGTTCCTCTTTCCCTTTTATCTACCAGTAGCTTCTCTATTTTTTACTTTGAATTTTATTATTATTTTTTTATTTTTCGTCACTATCAGCAATAATATCCTTCTGTCTGTTTTTTCTCTTTTTTTTTTTCATTGCTATAGCATTTGTGTTACCCCTTCACTCTCCCAATTCTACTTTCATTTGGGATGTTTTCATTGTGACTGTCAGGATATTTTTTAAGATACTGCTTGTTTCCTGGCAGTTTGGTTGTATACTGTCTTGCCTTGGCAGCACCAATACAACAGCTCACATGACATGGTTGGGGCTGAGCCACAAAGTTAGCCAACCTGAAAGGAGACTCCTTCCAAGAACAAGTCAACAACAATCTAGACCCAATCGCAACAAGAGAGCCCAAAGAACCCACAAAAGGGACACCCACAAAAGGAACATGCCTAGAGCAAATAGTTCAGAAGCATAAGGAAGACACACCTCTGAGCTCCACTGGATACACTACAAAATGCCACCCCACAAGACTGGGACAGAGCAAATATATCTAATACACAGACACAAACACTAAGAGCCACAAAAATGGGGAGAGAAACAATCCCCAAATTAAAGAAAAGGAAAAATCGCCGGAAAAAGACCTTGATAAGATGGAGTTAAGCAAGTTATCAGAAACAGAGTTCAGAGTAATGGTTATAAAGATGCTCAAGGAAATTAATGAGAACAAGAAACTTAATGGAAAGGTCAAGGAACTTAGTAAAAGCATGAAAAAATATATATATCATAAATAAGAATCAGGCAGAAATGAAGAATACTATATTATCAAGAATACACTGGAAGGAATTAAAAGCAGGCTCAATGAAGGAAAGGACAGAAGAAGTGACTTAGAAGATGAGGTAGAGAATAAACACTCAATCTGAGCAGCAAAAAGAAAAGACACTTAAAAAGCATGAGGACAGCCTAAGGGAGCTTTGGGACAACATGAAGCAAAACAACATTCACATCATAGGGGTGCCAGGGGGGAGGAAAGAGAGCAAGGAATAGAGAACTTGGTAGATGAAATAATGACAGAAAACTTCCTTACACTGGAGAGGGAGAAAGCCACACAAGTTCAGGAAGCACAGAGGGTTCCAAACAAGAGGGACCCAAAGAGACCCACTCCAAGACACATCATAATTAAAATGGGCAATGTCTAGGACAAAGAGAAAATATTATGGGCTGCAAGAGAGAAACACCCAGTGACCTACAAGGAAACCCCCATAAGGCTGACAGCAGATCTCTCAACAGAAACTCTTCAGGCCAGAAGGGAGTGGCATGAAGTTCCCAAAGTAATGAAAAGCAAGAACATGCAACCAAGATTGCTTTATCCAGCAAAGCTATCATTTATAATTGAAGGTGAAATAAAGAGCTTCCCAGACAAAAAAGGGCTAAAGGAGTTCAGTACCACCAAACCAACATTGCACGAAATGCTAAAAGGACTGCTCTAAGAAAAAGAAGAAATATTGAGAGAAAGGTACAACACCATAAAAGAGGAAATGGCATTAAATAAGTATCTA